CGTATTATAGGCGAAATTGAACTTTTATTGTTACGCAATAACTAACTATACGTCAACGGGACGGGAATCTATCTTTCACTCAAGATATTTCTAAAACTGAACCATATACATGGATCAACTTCAGGGTACTGAATGAGTGCTAGTTGGACATAAATTACGTAGTAGGACAATGGCCGATATTGAAAAGCAGTGGTAATCCAACAAAACGGATGCTGATATGCCGTCTCTGAGACGTATGATTAGTAGTTAAGGGTTAAATTAACTCAACAACTCAAGATCACTATTTTTCAACATGGTTATGGTTGATGGATAAACTAGAAACTATTTGCTCCAAATATAATTTATTGGTTTTGATACATCGCATAGTTCTCTATATACCTTGAAACCATCAGAATGTCGTTGAAAGGCTAATGTGTATAATTGTGATCCATTTCGAAAAGAAAAATGGTTGGAACAATGAGTTTTCCACAAAAAAATGGAAGCAGTTGCGGAAGCCGTATATGGATGAGCTATGAGCTATAATCTTATCAATATCTCATCGATCAAGAATTCACTCGAGACACCCTAAGAGGAAAAGTATTGGTGAATTGGCCCCGAAACGATGCTAATACTAATTCCTACAACTTCTTCTATTTGCTTTACGATACATTCCAGTGGTGTAACTTTGTAAAGCCCGCGGGAGAGGTACCTATCTCAATTGGAGGAAGTTCGAGAAGGGAAGATCTTCCGGGAATATCTTCCGGGAATACGGCAGGGCCGAGATGGTTTCGTCAATTTCGTTCCAGCTTCCGGTCAGAAATCGATCCTCGGCCGGAGCCGACAGTTCATTAATTGATAATTGTCTTGGGAAGAGGAATGGGAAGTGTGGAATTGATGAGATGAGGTAAGACCGGAATGAACTGATTCATTGGGAGATTGTGAGGAGAAACGGATGATCGAAACATGCTATATACAGTGAGTCATCGAATCTAATCGACACGCCAAAACTTGTAGAATATTCGTATTTTGTGTATTAAGAGGAAAGTTTTTGCATAGTATTTTCCACTTCCCGGTAACTACCAGTTTCACCAGAACTGGCTCCCGTTTCTGATTTTTAGATGAAACACCTTGTATACCTATTATAACGTTTTCGAATTCCTGAGACGAATCTGGATATGTTATTTTCAGAAGCTCCTACGTCAACTTTAATTTTTCAAAGCAACTTCCAATATTGCATAGACTTACAAATTCAAAAGCGTTCCACCCTCATATTTTTCCATTAATGGAGAGATTTCCGCGAATTTTTTTTTTTTTGGACGGGCAACATATGGCAGAGTGGAATAATAATAAAATCAATGGAAAAGAAGATAACAACCAGAAGAGAAAATTCAAGGAATATTCTTGCATTCTTCTGAACGGAGACAATGGCATTGCTTCTTGTTAAGTTGATATAGACAGAACATGGTATTCACTACTGAAATCTGAAAATGAAAATGGTGAATTCAAGATTGATCAATAAAAACATCCTGTTGATTGTCAACGTCACCAATTGTCACTGAGAACTGAAATGTTTCAAGACAGATACGAATTTGCTATTCAAATAACCATTTTTGGCTGAGTGAAAATTTGATATTTTTTCTATATACCTTCATTTCTCTTCTACAAACCTTTTTCAATACAAATTGTCACTGCCAAGCTGGCGATTTCTTCTTTTAGAGTCAATGATAGGACAATTCTTCAAACGCATTGTCATTTTGGGAAAAATCGTCGGATTTGTTCTTACTGCACGCGTATATTGAAATAAAATTCATATTTGTATCTCGTAGAAACGAGGAGAGAAAATCCCAAAAAATCTGGAATAACGATTGTATTTTGGAGTTGAGCAACGTTCATTCTTTCAGCCCATATTAGCGATTTTTGTTGACAAAATCTGCGTACACTGGGATCGGCGTCCTCTGTAATAAATTTGTACCAAGTTTTATGGAAAAATATTCGACATTAACAAATCTAGAGCGTGTCTCATATCAAACGGCCTCCCCTCATTAATATCACAGCAATTAGTCGTGCGATCTTCACCAAATTGGGACCGGAACCATCAATTTGATCAGATTCCTAGAGACATACATTATTCTGGACAGTGTCGTGCATTTTTATCGTAATAAGAATGAGTAAATTATTTTTGAAATCATGTGAGCAATTTCTTAACAGAAAAGCTGACCTCATAATATTGTTCAACATAGCTTCAAACTTCCATAATATGTTAATTCTTATATGTCTGCTATACAGGGGTTTCAAAAACTATCAAATATATCGGAGCAGCATTTTTGCGAACGTGCTAATGATTCACTAGGAAACGGCGAGTTCAACAAAAAATAGTATTTCATGTTTTTTTTTTTCTACCGGAGCTATTGCATGTTCCAAAATTTGCAGTCGATTCGTATTCACGATTTTCCCGACGCTGAAAATAAAAAGGTGATTTTCTGCAAATGGAGGTTCAAGAGCATAAATAACAATAACATGGAGTTGTTTTTTTACAAACAGAATCCTGATATGATTCCATTTAAAAATGTACTCCTTTCCATTCCAATAAAAAGGCAAGGCAGTGACCGAAAGAACTTATTATAACCATATAGAGTGTCCACTTTCATACGGTATCATTGTCAAAATGAAAAACTGATCGTATTGATGGTCATTCATACCGGTCCATATCACTAAAAGCTGAGATATAAAAGGGGGGGGGGCGGCAAGGGGGGGGGGGGAGTTTCAAATGAGACACGCTATAGATTCGTTAACGTTGAATATTTCTTCATAAAACTTGGTACGGATATATTTAGTTCAGAGGCCGCCGATTACAGTGGCTTACGCGAATTTAAAAAAAAGACTCTAATATGAATTCAGGATTTTCCATTATCAATGTGATCTAGTAGGCCTTGGTTTTCAAGAAGAGTGAACGCCGCTCAGCTACAAAATACAATTCTCCTCCTTCTACATTTGAAACAAAAATCGTGTAAAATGCTCCATAAAAAAAATCTATGGGGATGGTTTGTTTTCAAATGGTTCACTCAGTATGTGTGGTCATGATCGGACATAAGCTCATCAAAAGACCTCAGGTGATGTCAGAAAATTGTAATAGCAAAGTTTCAGTGACAAGTATGATAGGTAGTAAAATGACAAGTTGGCAAAATATTATTGCCGTCTCTAACTATTATATTCGAAAAGCAACCATTTTTCGACAAGCACTTCCCAAAGAATGATTTTCTGACTACCCAGTCATCGAGTGTAGAGAATCGAATAAGTCATAGATTATCAACACGATAGTTGAAGGTAAAATGAAAAATATTCAAGTTGTGAGGTCAAAATAGTACGTTCATAGTGAACTTAAATGAGCCACCAACGATTAACTTTCCCATTACTTCTTCTTCCTCGATGTCCGCAGCTAAAAATAACAGTAACTGGCAGATGAGATTACTTACCAACTTGTTGAAACTCATTTTCCGTTAATACAGATGAATAAATCATGGCGGAAAGGCATATTACATATTTACATGCACTAATGAAAACGTATGATGCTGCGGAAATCAAATTTAATAAAGCAGAAACTCATAGCGTAATTTCCCATATTAGTTTGAAAAGTTTGTTGGTGGAACCTAAGAACTCATGTTCAATTTCACGTTTATGTAATTGGAATGGTTTGGATTCGACTAGGATTGTTTTGTTGATGTTTCTTGTGGAAGGTTTGAGATGATTGTCAGGGAAGATGTCATACCATTCGACCTTTTATGATAATGAGAATTTTCGTCGATGTGGAGTTTGAATGCTAGAACGAAGAACTGAGTGATAGGTATTGACTTATCCAGATTTCTATTTTTCCTGGTGGTAATATTTTTTTATGAACCGAGGATGAAACACTGTCTATTTATAGTCGATTGTGCGAATTGATAGCTGAGACTAGCAATCAGGCGAGTCGATAGGCAGTTTTTCGCCGAGGTACATATTACATTTTTTTGGCGACCGATCAATTGATTTTTGTCTTCCTAGCACAAAAGCGAAATGATTGAAATCGAGTACTCTGGGTAGCGATAATTCGCAAAAATTAGTAGGATAACAAAGTTTATGCCCATACAACTCCTTCTGGGAAAGATATAGTCCTGAAAAACCATCATAGGTTTGAATATGTACCATATATTGGGACAAATCACCGAAAATGACAGCAAGATTTTTTTTGTCATATTTCATTTTATGTTCTTGAAAACCTTTTTCACAAGCCCTATTAGTCGTGAGTCTAAGATGATGATGATGATGAGCAATGACGATCAGATCAGAGAAAAATATCTTCCTGGCTATCATGAATTATTAGAAAATATGTATCAGGAATAACCAAAACCTAACGTCGCGACGCCCTATGCAGAAATTAAAATTTTCACGAAAATTCATTTTCCCTCTGATTGATAATCTCGAGAACACTTCTGTCAGTCTAATTCTCCGATTTCATTCCACAAAGTTGCTAATTTAGTGGTTGTTTAGTGATATACCTAACCGCAAAGTCGAATGGAAGATGAACTTGCAGTTCTTTCTCTGAGACGGTATTATTGACTCATTTTTCGGAACTATAGCACAACAAAAGCAATCAACAGTGTATATATATGTGATATATATCCGGGAAATAGGTACTCACTTTTTTCCCATGGAAAGTGACATTTTATCTGCCAACAGGAATGAAATGTCAAACTTTTTTCCCGTCACAGAAAAAACAATTTTTTGTCTGAATATCATTTCTGATCGCTATATTAAACTGAATTCGTAAACTATTTTATTTACCACACTAGTTCCCTCTGTATTCCATAAATTCCCAACATTTTTTCGAAACCTCTGCATACGTATATACAGGGTGATTCAGGTTTTAAGGAACCAACTAAAATATGTGATAGATCTTATTAAATTACATATATGATAAATGATAAAAATAGGAAATGAGAAACGGTCGGCGACACAAGTTTTGAAAAATGTTACCAATAACTTACTTATTATTGTGAGGTTAACTTTGATGTTTCTCGTGGGAGTCAGCCTGAAGTCCACCCTACAATGGTATATGCCACCATCGCTGTCTTTGACAGTCTCCAGAGTTAATTTGGCTGGTTTTTCTTGGTATCGAAAGGATCCCCGACCTCCAAGGACACTTTCGTCTGCCCAATGTTTGCCATGCTCCATTTGCTTGTCTCTGGAGTCGAACCTGCAGAAAATACATCCCAGTAGGAACACATAATATAGGCGTCTCCATGATATATATTCTTACATCATTATGGGTCAGAGAAACTGTGGACCTGTACAAGGAATCAAATGATCTATTATAATGTTGTTACTATAGATCAAAGGTGCTTTTTCGCACTATTACCTACAAATTAATATAATATGAATGTACCAGTGAATGCGTGATACTAAGAAAAATACTGGGTATATCTTGATGAGTGAACGCGATATGTATACCTATACAAAGTGATTGATAAAGAATGGGAAATCTCTGAACTTGTCAGTTTACACCAAAATATGCAGACTCAGCTCAACATGTCCAATAAAAATATAGCTGATTAAGGAGTCAGTCAATCAGAGTGTTCAAGGGACAGATTCATCAGTTCTGAAATTTCTCAGTAACTTCGTGAGTTAGAATGAACACAACATTTTGTAGTTCTAGGTTTTCTGACATGAGAAATAATGAGGGGGAAATCTAGAAGCCTGTTCAATTCAACATTAAAAATGTACTCCTTTTTTAATTATCTAGCCTCAACGGTTTTTGCGTCGATAGCTCTTGAAAAGATCAATGTGTCAAATATTCTTATTTTTATTTCTGACCGAGATATTATAAGCTAATATCGTCATAGTTACGCTATCAATAAAGTGGGTCATAACTTCCTTGGGCATTATAGATTTTATAATTCCCACAATCTTTCACAAGTGGGAATGATATAAAAAATGCCTATGTATGTATGTATTTAAAACAAGAGTCCTGTAATCAACGATACCTGATTCAGAGGCCCTCAGGACGCACAAACTTTGCCATCAGTAATTGATGCCCTTATAATTCCCTTGATACATGAATAACCGTGAATAACTATACATTTTTTAATTTGCGAAGTGACACTGAAGAAAAAAAAAATACAAAAATTGATAATGGTAATAACCAACAACTCCTACATCAACAAACAAAATTCCGAAGTAATTGTTCGACCGAAGTTATTTGCCTTGAACACCCTACCCTGTATCTCCTAAACCAGCAACATTTTTGTAAGGCATGCTGGACTGAATCTTCCAACTTTGTTGTTGACCTATTGACTTGCTGTAGTTCAAAGATTCCTGATGAATAGTCCTGTTTCTCTACGTATAGAGCATGATTCTAAAAATTCTAAGAGACGGTAAAAGGAAACATGGAAAATCCAACTGAGATTTTGCCGTTATTGAGAAACTCTCGGTTCTTCCAGACGGGACGTCATATATTTTATTTTGGACACCCTGTTATTTTCACAATCCCTAATTCTTATACCAACATTCTGATTCATATTGCATACCCTTCACCTGAAACGAACTGTTTTTGCGTCTGGTCCAGGAAGTGAGTGAAGAACATTGAACATCTCATTTTTTTCGAATGAAAACTCCATTTTCTCTTCTATAGATCATAGGTTCTATCATAAAAATTAGTCAAAGTTCTGATTAACTTCCCCATATTCCCACAACTCATAATTTCGTGGATATTCCATAAATAGTACTTGTTTATATTTTCTATCTTTTGGGGCGCACGGAAGGGTATTCCGATCCTAGGGCGAGGAGGTTGGTATCCGAGTTTTTGAAACTTGCGACAATTGATTACCGCCTGTTATTTACCTTCGAGTTGATGCATATAGAACGTGTTATATTACTTTGGAAGTTCACTCTGGAACATACTGTGTACCTCTTCGTTGTGATTATACGAAGTGACATGATTTTACAATGACATTTTCCATTGTGAATTCCTCACCAAATATTTGCACTGGAAATATGCTATGTAGTTTTCACATTCTATTCGAATTTAGAATGGAATTTCACATTGCCGTGTTTGGATCAAGAGAGGAATTAGGTATTGATTGCTTTTTCAGGTTCTGGAACTTAAATAAATGGTCTTGGGTATACTTTCATTGCCAAACAATTTCAAAGCTTCAACGCTCCACAGATAAACGAGTTCTGGTATATATTGTTGAAGTTGACGACGAAAGGATGGACAGACTAGACTTCTGGAGTTCGTCTGACTGGTATTGCTAGTGATGGAATGATAGCAGGGATTTCTGAAGAACATTCGCCATGATAGTATCCATGAACAGTGAAAGGTAGCCGACCTATCTATGCTCTGCCAATGATGACACAATTAGTGTGTGTGGCATAATCCACCAGGCAAAAGGCTCTCCTCTGAACGGAATCTATGAGTTGAAGCGTATGTTTTGGTGCTGAATCTCATATGTAGGAACAGTATTCTAGAACAGGCTGCATATGTGCTTTGTAGATCAGGAGAAGCTGTTGAGGTATTGAGTACCAGCTGTTGCCCGATGAATCTAAGATGATTCTCTGCATAATAACTGCTGCCATCGAACCTTTTGGATGGTTCTAGTAGGCTGTGCATGTGAAATTTCAATCGACCAATGAAATGAAGGTTTTCACTGTTCGTTTCGTACATCACTGCGATACCTATACAATAATTCGTAATTAGAATCCAATGACCGCTTTCACTTAGTGAGTTTTTGAGGTTATAGTAAATCTCATCAGATATCGCCAAGATGAAATAATTCAATTCTGAATGGGAGAATTTCTAACGTGTGAGTATAGTTATTACTAAGATATCGTTTCTTCGGAAAAACAATATCACTCCCATTTTGAGACATCTCTCGGAACAAGATACTATTCAACTGTGAAAAAAACATATTTTTTCTGTGACGGGAAAAAAGTTTGGCATTTCATCTCTGTTGGCAGGTTATAAAATGTCGCTTTTCATAAATTACTTTTTTCCCGTGGGAAAAAAGTGAGTACTTTTTTCCCGGATATATATCACATATATATACACTGTTGATGGCTTTTGTTGTGCTATAGTTCCGAAAAATGAGTCAATAATACCGTCTCCGAGAAAGAACTGCAAGTCCTTTTATCTTCCATTCGACTTCGCGGTTACGTATATTACTAAACAACCACTAAATTCGCAATTTTTCGCAATCAAATCACAGAATCAGACTGACAGAAGTGACATCAGATATTTGATCACTTCAAAAGAATGATAAAGATGCCTACAACGCAGGTGTCCCTACTGTTAAAAACTTAAAATTTCACGTCGATAATTTTCAGATTTCAAAATGATGTAATATTTTCCCAATATTGATTCGTCCTTTCTTCTGTCAGAAAAAAATAGTGTATTATACACGGGAAGAATATTAGATTTTAGCTCACGGAGACAACACAACCTGGAGCTAAAACCTACAACTTTTTTCCCTTGTATCATAAATAACTATTTATGGTTCACGTTATTTTTTTCTTGATTCTCGTCAACATACTATGATCCTGTTTTATCATACAAAATGATCCTGTTTTATTCATTCATGATTCGAAGACGATATCTTAAAGCCATATCTATATCAGTGGATTACTTTCATGTTTACTTCTGAAGAAAATTGACAGTAATCCTGATCCAATTGGGAGTTCATAAAGTTATAGAGATAAATAAGTTAACCCCGGAGAAGGAAAATGTGTACCTACAATAAAATCCTCAGTTTAATCATTTCCGAGTTATGAAATACGTGAGTCCTTACAAAGAGAAGTTCCAGAAATACATATTTATCAAATCTCCGCAAGATACCTGGATTCAAGAATATTACGTTATTTCGTCTCACTGAACAGCTTGAGATATATACTTCTGACAACCCCTATACTTCCGATTTGCTTTCTTGGTTTTCGTTCCTTATATACCTCCTCCTGATTCTATTCAGTAATTCGTTCTGTGTTTAACTTTTTTAAGGCTATTTATTCCGGAGCAGCATATTGGAGGGAAACTACGGTCGATATTTAATTTAGAAAAGAGAAATATCCTTACTGTTCTTTACATAGGTACTAGTTGAAATTCCATGGTTTATTGCTACAAGGATAGCTCGGTGAAAATTATCGAAATACAAGAGATATATACTGTCTGCAGGTTAATCGAGGAGGTGTTTCATTCATTATTCCAGATTATTTGGGATTTTCTCTCCTCGTGTCTACTTTACACCTCAACAGCTTCTCATGATCTACAAAGCGCAGATACGGCCTGTTCTAGAATACTGTTCCCACATATGCGGTTCAGCACCAAAACATACGCTGATGCTCTTAGATTTAATCCAGGGAAGAGCCATCCGCCTGGTGGGTGACGCCACACTCACTTACTCTTTGTCATCATTGGAACACCGTAGAAAGGTCGGCGACCTTTCACTTTTTTACCGATACTTCCACGGGAAATGTTCTTCGGAAATCTCTGCTATCATCCCTTCACTAGCAATACCAGTCAGACGAACTAGACAAGCCCAGTCAGCACATCCTTTCGTTGTCAACCTCAAAATATGTCGAACAGCACTTTATCAAAACTCCTTCATTCATAGAACGGCTAGGCTCTGGAATTCATTGCCTGAGGAAGTATTCCCAACAACATATAATCTCCAGAAGTACAAAAAAAATTCCAATACCCACCTCCTATCCCTTTCCTCCCTAGGAACGCACGATGTTCTTTGAACATTATAGAGATTCCCTTCCGTGCGCTCCAAGCGATGAAAAAAAAAACAAAAAAAAAATGTCAATATCATTCCAATTCATGTGTAGTCAGGACAAATCCGGTTATTTTGTCCCAAAACTCACTGCCTTCAAAGAATTTTCTTATCAGAGAGCCTCAAAAAAGAATTCACCCGCTTGTCAGTGATATATTGTATTGAAAAAGGTTTGCAGAAGAGAAATGAAGGTATATAGATAATATATGAAATTTTCACTTATCTCTGGACGTTTCGGGAACGGATCTGCTCCCGTTTCAAACATAAAATAGTTATTTTCCTAACAAGTGGGCAAAGTGTTAGTTTTCCGTACGCAAATACAGTTAGGCGAACGACGCGGAGCGGAGTTCGAATAAGTTTTTGCGTGAGGAAAATACACTAAACTTTGCGCAAGTGTTAGGAACAACGTATTTCCTACGAGCTTCATATCAGA